CTTGTGATTCCTCAATTGAAGTATAAATTTAGCTATCTTATAACACATATTTGTGTATGTCTGCAAAGTAACTATACATTGACAGTGGTGAATGTATAGTGTCTTATGATAGCCAAAGCCTATGATTTCGAGACCCACATGAAAACATTATGCAATATTGTAAATACAGAATCAGGTTCAAAGATAGTATTTATTTAAAATGAACTCACAGAGATCTGCCAACCTCTGCCTCCCAAGTGCTGGGTTCAAGGCCTTAGTTATAGTGAGTTAACTTTTATTTCTTTATCGTTTTGTAGTCTTTGTTCACATTTCTGCTGTGGCCCTTTGAATCCATCTGTATCATCACGCGTGTCTTACACAGTGGAGATACCAGTCTTTGACAATCATGAGTTGTAACCAGCCGCTCAGTTTGTATTTTTCTCTTAGTTCTGCTAGAAATAAGATAATGAATTAAGGAGACTAGTGGAAGCCCAGCAGTTTTTAACACACCCTTCTGCAGAAAGAGATGGCAGCCTAGAGGAAAGGGGAAAATGAGCAGTGTGCTGATTTGCTGGAAGATGGTGGTTTTCGCCATTCCTGATGACAAGAAATTGACAAGAAATTCTGTCCTCTTCTCGTATAGGCCAGGACCTCAGCCTTCCTCAGCTTCCTATATCATTGGTAGGACACACAGCTTTATTTAATAAATAACTTGGGCTTGAAACTTTCTCCCTTTTCTATTGTGGGCGCAGTTACGTAGCAGACTGTCTCTATCTCCGACTCCCAGAAGCCTGAAACAAGCAGGTGCCAGCCACCTGCTAGGAAGAGGGGCCTCATCTGCACTCTGATGAACCCTAAGCACACCTCATCCCGAGAATGGACCCTCACCATCTATTTCTTACACCTCACACATTGTTTTTTTTTTTGTGGCATTAAAGTTTTACAATTAAAATTTAAATTTTGGGTGCTCTGATCTGCTCTGCAGATGTGCAGCTTAATGCCATCTGAGTTTTGTTTCCTTGGATGTTTCGTGATTTAGCCCATTATTTCATCAGTGTAACACTATGTGGCATTTTATACATTTTATATTTTCTTTTAGAAATTATTTATTTATTATTTTATTTTATGTGAATGGGTGTTTTGAATATCTATATCTATACCTATACCTATATCTATACCTGTACCTGTACCTTTATCTATATCGTCTGTGCACTATGTGCATTCCTAGTACCTGTGGAGGCTAGAAGAGGGCACCGGATCTCCTAGAATGGGAGTTACAGATGGTTGTGAATCGCCAGGTGGGTGTTGGAAATTGAACCTTGGTCCTCTACAAGAGCAACAAGTGCTTTTCATCATTGGGTCATCTCTCCGTCCCCTTAAGATACGTTCGTTTAATTTAGTTTTTACATAGTACCTTTATAACCTTATAACCTTGAGAAATAGAATCATTTACAAATAGATTATTAGCGAGCACTCTGGCTAGATGAAAAGAGTCAACTTCAGTTCTGGAGCTTTCTCCCCAGAAATTAAAATCCAATTAATTAATCAGGCATGCAGGACTATGGGACTGAACATCCATGTCTTTTGGTTCTGGTTCCTTCTTTTGGCATTGGAGCAGCTGGAGGCAGGTGAAGCATTCTCCGAGAACACACTGGTCAGCCCGGTACACCAGGGAGGCTGCCTTGAGGACTGTGAGAGGGTCCCTCGTCTACGTCTGAGCTGGAAAGACCCGGCCACCAACAACATCTGCAGTTCAGCAGGGGAAGGCCACATATTCATGTGAAGAAAAAGAATCATCATGCGTTCAACTTACTACATCTCTGATTTTCAAAACAGTCTTTTCCAGTGCTTTTAAATTCATGGCTTATATTTATTCAAGTCTAGAGATTCAAATTTATTTCCAAAATATAATATTGTGATGTATACACCACTTATATATGTATGGATGTATGTATATATGTGTGTGTGTGTGTGTATATATATATATATATATATATATATATATATATATATATATATCTCATACATGTCATAAAATGCATTCCTTGAAGATTCTTGGCTGTCTTTACCACTGTGTGCCTACCAGTGCCTGTGCCTGTCAGGCATATCCTGATATGCCTGCATATCCTTTCCATATTTCCTGAATGTGTGGATTAAAGTCTAAGCGGTTTTCTCTTTCTTTGAAGCCACAATGACCGTTGTTTCTTATTGATCAGAAATCTACTCCTCCCTTTCCTGGGGATGGGATTGGTTTTGAAAATATTAGAAGCAAACAAGTCAAAACACTTAATTTCAGCAAGTTTCCAACATTATTAGTGTTACTGTTGGTGGAGATCCAGGATTGCGTGGATCCAAATCTGAAAGCTGTTTCTGTAGCTAGTGATTAGGTTTGGGCAGATTCGCTAGGACCCTAGTGTCTGGCACCTGGTATGTGATTTATTTTCCATTTTCTGCTTCAGTGGGGGCTCTATGAAGAACGCAGTGCTGATCTGTGTGTCATCAATGTCAGCAAAGTGCTTGGTTCCCTTTGGGGAGGTCCAGTCTCACTTCACCTAAGAAATGCAGGAAGAACTGGAAATTATGTAATTTTATTACATTTGCATAAGATCCAGCACTCATTCATTATCTTTCCCGTTTGAATCTGTCTTCTTGTTTCTTTTCTAGAGAGGTTGTGCTCTGGATAAAAATTCCTCATTTCTCCTTTTCTAATCATCCTTGATATTTATATTTGTTTGGATTTAGGGCTCCTTGAGCACCTCTCTGAAGGCAGCTAAGTGCTGAGCTATAAACGTAGATTCTGATCAGGTTGGGAACGGGAAAGAAAATACGCTAGTTTGGGATAAGCCTGAGACCCAGTTGCTTTTGACTGGAGGCATTGGCTATATACATGCTACTTTGGTAGTCCCTGGGCACACAGCCTCGGTCTGAACACCTCTCACAAGTGAGCACACATGGACTGGGGGGTGTCCCAGGGTCGCTGCCTTTTCATTTACACAGAAGTAAATACAGGCTCCTCTTGCTCCTGGTTCATTATATTCTCTCCATGTTCATGTTGAATCAGCCTGTAGCTTATGTCCAGCTCACAGCCTCATGCTCCTCCCCATCTACGACCCCTCCCCCAGGCAGTAGGCCCCCTTCTGAAGTCAGGTGTCTGAATAAGACAGAAATTTTAAACTAGAGAATTTGAGTTCTGTACTATATTTGTCTTAGGGGAAAATTGGATCATTGTTGAGACAGATGGAGTTTGCACTTTTTTTTTTTATAACCACAAACAGGAGCTTTTAAAAGCCTAGCGCTAAAATTACATAAGAATAAATCTAAGGCAGGCAAGAAGGAACCTAGGAGGTTATTTTTATGCATTTTAGTTATCTTAGGATTTCTACATAATAACTTGTCAATCATTTTAGTAGAAAGTTTGTGAATTTGGTAAATGGACCAGATGATGTCTAAATTGGGACAGAGATAGAAAACAGTTGGCCTAGTTCACACAGAGAAATGAAAGGAGAGATGAACTGGAAGTCCCCAACTGAAGACAGGTGTGATGGCCCCATGGAGGAATGACATGGCCAACACCACTGAACATGGCGTCATCGAAACAGGAGCACATACTGTACAACAGAAGAAAAGACCAAGAACTAAAACGAACACCAAGACATGTTTAGAACAGTGATTTTTAAATTGCATCTTATTTACATTTGAATTTTATTATTTTGGGATTCCCATGTTTTTATTTTTAAACTTTTGTGACTCACTTCGTTATTCTACCAAAAATATGTAGAGATTCCCATTCACTTTAAGCAGAGATAATGATGGCACGATTCTCTTGTTAGAGAAACAGGAATAGAGAAAGGAAAGGAGAAGTATCTGTATAGGAGCCAGGAAGTAGGTGCTGGGCTCTGAAAGAAAGGTATTCTTAGGCAGTGGGAGCAAGCAAGGGAAAGCTAACCATCAGACACATGCTTTCATCCGAAGACTTTTCTTGATTGGTTACTTTCTACATGCTGTGACCAGATACCTGACAGAGAACAGCTTAAAGGAGAAAGAAACTGTTTTGGCAAAACAACTTTTCTCAGGTGACAAAAAAAAAGTTTATTCACTCAAGATAGAGCAATGATGACAGATCAAATCAAAAAGAAAAAAAAACAACAAAAAACAAACAACAGCAACAAACCCAACCAGCACCACCAAAGCAATTCTAGCTTAGGGAGCTGTTAAGTTTATTGGGGTAACCTACAGGATCATGGATGACTCTAACATGGCTACATCACCTAAGAGCCCATGTCAGCGTGGACGCCAGTTCACAAAAGCTACATGTATGGTGCTCCCTGCGCACCTCGCAGCAGCTGGACTCACCCGAGAGCCTCCTGAATCTTGTAGGTTTCTGGCACTTCTGAGCCTTGGGAGTTTTGTTTACTTCTTTACCCTTAATGGAATGTTTCAGTAGGAGGAAATAGCCACATGGCATCCAGATGCCAGTGAGATGCCTCCTATCATGTTGGAGAAGGAATGACCTTAGATGTGTGAAGCAGGTTGTCTCACGGGTCTGCAGCTGGGAAGCAGAGGGTAGACAGGAGCAAATCTGGTCTCTAAAACCTCACTGCTTGCTCCCAGAGACCTACTGCTGCAGTGAAACCCCACCTAGAAAAGGCTTCTTAATCTCCCAAGTGTTCAAACACATAAGCCTGTAGGAAAAGTGGGTGCATGTGGGAATTATCTATCCAAGTATTTTCATTAGAGAAAATCTATTCCATTACCATACTAGGAAATACTTGGATAGATAATTCCCACATGCACTTCCCCAGGGGAGGAGAAAGGAAAAATGGGAGGGGAAAACTAAGTTTTTCTCTGCCCTTTTTATTATTATCCATAGGAGAAGGGATATCTATGTTTAATGAAAGGGGAACATTTGGCTTCTGTTTCAACAGCCTTTATCTCAAGCTAGGGCAAAACAGGAGACTCTTGACAGCTCTTTTCTTTCTTTTTTTTTCTAGAAACTATCTATTGTGGAAAACCTGGCCAGCAAAGAAGCAAGCAGCACCTAGAGAGTTGGAGAACTCAAGTATGTTTCACTCTAGTGCCTAGACCAAACTAATGCTCAGCAAAGTATGGCCCTAGCTACATTTTCTTAGTTTTTGTTAGCTGGACAACAGTGTTGAACTCATTCCCCATGTGTCCACTGCAGATAGCACTCACGACAAGAAGGGATTCTACCGGATTAAGGCATGTTGCAGAAGTGGAGCTGGCAAGGTCAAAGCTGTTTTTGTAATGTTTGTTTTAAGAAATAGCTTTCATAACCATCAGCCCTCCCTGGTTACGGGCTGGGAGGCTTCTGCTGAAGCAAGCAAGAATACAGAAGCAGAATCCAGCAGTCCTCTTTATATCATAAGTAAAAATTTTAATTCACATTGTTTTTGCATAATTTTTGTAGCCCTTAGGCAAGAATTTCTATTTGTGTAAGATGGTATATTAGCTATATAAGGTTTATATTAAAAGTAATAAATGTATAACATATGTTTACTTTATGCTTCAACCCAAGCACACAAACATCTGTTTTTCTATCTCTATGGCATAAGAAAGGCAACTCTGCCCTTTCTCACTCATGACATAATGCTCCAGAGCAGACACAGAGTTCCAAAAGTTTGATGTCAATGGCAGGCCTGTCCGTCCCCTCAGAGCCCTCAATAAAGCTCGTAACTTGTTCTGTTTAGGTCAAGTCCATGTTCCCCCTCCTTTCCCACTGTACAGTATTAATGAATGCAATCATCTGAATGTACTTGACAATTTTTCCAAGAAGGAAAAAAGATGGTAAAATTTAGACATCAGCTCTCAGCATGGATTCTTTGTGTATTAGAAAGACAAATACTCACAAGGCTGGATTGTGATCATTGTAACTGGTTACAATAAGCATAGTGAATTGAAAAACATGGAAAGTTCTAATGGCAGAATATGATTCCTCACCATTGTAGAAATGTTGGCGACTGAGAGAGAAAATAACAAAATGAGGTTATAATTAATTAAAATTTTTTTGAGTAAAATGTATTTTAATCCTTTAAAAAATTGCTTTCCTTTTTCTTTTATCTGGTCTCACAGCTTTCCATGCTCACTGTGAAAGAACGCTCAATTTTATTAGAAACTCTTGAGTTCTTGAAGTTACTCTAAGAGTTGTTGAAGTGAATGTCCCAATGCCAGAGTCAGTTTCTCAAAATATTTTGTGAAGAATGCTCTTAAAATTTTTATAGAAGAGAAGAAACTGCCAAGCTCAGGCAGCATTCAAAGATGAGACGGCCCACAAGGAAAGGGAGAGGGAGTAATGAGAATGGGGAAATACAGGCCAGAGCCTCCCCGTTGATGAGGAGGAAGCCATGTCACAATACCAACAAAATACAGTTTCCAAACAAATTTGAAATAGAAATTAATTCGTCTGACTGGTTCACAGTCTTTGATTTATGCAACATGAGGAGTGTGGCTTGCAGAGTCTACACAGTTTGCCAGGAAGAGATGCCATCCTCATTCTTGATTTTAAATTTCTCAAGCCAGCATATCCACCCAGTAGTTTATAGCTGTTTCCTGTTGTGGCCCATAAAGAGACAAGGCCCAGGATTCTTAATGAATGCAGTGATCTGGATGTACCTGACAATTTCATATGATAAACTTAACCACTAGTTTGGTAACACTAAGAAGGTGAAGTGTTTAGATGTCATTGACTCAAGAAGGTGATGATCTTCCTGCATGGAATGATGTCCCAATGAAAGAGGAATCCAAGGAATTCTCTTGGCCCTGTGCCCGCTCCCCTTCCATGGCAGAGGGTGAGCCTCTTTCGATAGTGACTCTGCCAACACCTGCACTTTAATTTTCCAGCTTCCAGAACGATGAGGAATATATTTTCTCTTGTTTTTTGTAAATTACTCAGTGTGTTATTGTAGTTTCACAAATGAACCAAGACACCGATGGTATTTCTAGGGGTTGGTAGTACTCTTTCTTCTGCTGTTAGAAACCACATGAGACAGTTACCTTATAGAGAAAAAGGTTTACTCTGGCTCACAGGTTAGCAGTTCCAGGTCACCTTCATTGGCTTGGGGCCTGACAGTGAGGTAAGATACCCCAGCAGGAACATCAAACATACCTTATGACAGAAGGTAAGGGAGGGAGCAAGGGACAAGGCATGGGCTCACTGCCCCCTCCAAGGCATGCCCAGTGACTGATGACCTGCAATTAATACAGAGGTGTTACCGTTAAAGGTTCTAGTTTCTGGATAGTCAGGGTGTAAAGGGAGAATGAAAGCCACCAGCCTCTTGTCTGGAGAGCTGTCTCTCATAATTGAAAGGTCTGCATTGCCGAGGGAAAGATCTGCATTGCCAAGGGAAACACTTTCGTCTGGTGGTTCTCAGGGTGAATAAAGACTAGATTTTGCCTGGCAGGAAATAACTGTGTCACAGAGGTACACAGTAGGGAAAGGTGCTTATGTGCTCATGCACTGATTTCCAACTCGGTGAATTTCCCTGTTTCGGTGAATAACACTCATACTGAAAATTCTTTAGGCTGATTTCAAAGAGAGAAATGACAAGTGTCATAGGTATGTTCGCAGCCTCCCACCCTGTGTGTGGTGAAGCTTCCTGGAGTTTCTGGTTCACTCTCCTGCCAGAAGCTGATGTTTATATTTTTGCCATTATGGTTTTACATTTTCTGTTTCAACCTTCCATATTTCAGTCTTTCATAAAGGGAACTTTTCTCCTAGGAGCAACTGATGGGGGTGCTCACTGGGAGGGCTGAGGAAGAGAGAAGGAATATTCACTTTGAAAGTCATGACTTTGAATGACGCCTCGTCTCTACACTTTGTGCCCTTTGCTTCCCCATCTTGGGATGAGATGCACACATAAGATGGGGTGAAATTTAAATAAGCATTTTTTTTTCTTCTATAAGGACAATCGCTTTGTGGATTTCTACTAAACACACAAGTACATGCTACTTGAGGCTTCTTAAGAAATAGATGTTGAAACTACCTGAAATACTGAAACTTGAAAATCCATATGTGGCTGTTGGTTTTGCTTAGCAGCTTTTGGATTAGGAAATCCCTGAGAGGTTTCCAGAGATAGCGCCCAAGAGCTCTGACCTAGCAGTCAAATTCAGTGCTCAGAGGATTCCCAGGTGAACAACGTGATGGAGAAGTATTGAGACACGGGGTGGAGCCTTGCTGAAGAAGGAAGGACACCAGGGGTGTGTTTGGGTTGTCTCTTGCCTGGATCTTCTTGTATGCCTCCTCTCTGTTTCCCGGCTACTTTTAATGCAAGCTTCTCAGCCCCACCATGCCCTCCTGCCATGACAGACTGACACCTCAGAAACCATGAGCCAAAGTGACTCTTCCAACCCTTAGGTTGTTTCTGCCAGGTAGTCTGTCTCAGCAACCATGAATAATTAATAAATATTTATGTGTAATTTATATATTCATGTGAACACAGTTTCCGAGTCTTGCCCCATCAATGACTTGAGCTACTATTGTCAGTACAACAGGGTAAAGCCTCATGTTGGCGTCCAGGGTCTTTATTCCTTAGGAAAAAGTTTTGCCAATTGAGAACTCACCTCTCTTATTTTCCAGCTGGGAGTTTGGCTTAATTCTTCATAAGGGCAAACTCATCTTACAAAGAATTTCATCCCACCAAACTTCTACAGTGTAGAACATAGGCCGGTGTTCCTCCAGGTGTGGTCCTATAGCCATTTGTTTTGAATTTATCTAGCAAAATTCTTGCACATTTCTGGAGTCTATCCAAAAACTGATGAAATAAGCCATATGCTAAATGCCCAGGGCCTGCACATGTCTGCACCAGGTTCTCTGAATACATAGTATGGTTTCCAGCTTGGTGTTTTTATTGGATTCTGAGTATGCAAATGAATGAGTCTCTGATCCTTTTGCCTTCTCCTGGGCCCTTTTCCTTCTTTTTGTTTGTTGATTCCAACTCTGACGTGACAGCTTTTGTTTTATTATATTTTATTTTGTTATATTTAGTTATCATCCCTTAGAAGCCTATTTGTTTTCTAATGAGAGACAGAAAGAGAGTGGCTCTTGATGAGAGGAGAGTGGAGGAGGAACTGCAGGAGTAGAAGAGGAAGCCAAAATCAGGATATAGTATGTGAGGAAAAAAATCCATCTTCAATAAGATGGAAAAAGAATATGCTAAAAAGGGATTTTCAGAGATTTGCATGAATGCTCTGGCTGGAGCCCAACTGAGTGAGTTGCTTTTCTCATATCTGTGACCCAATAACCCAGAAAACAATGCCCTAAAGGAAGGGTTAATCTTGGTGCACAAGTTGAGAGTGTAGCTTATCATGCCAGGAAGCTGTGATGGCAGAAGTGGCTCTCTCTGTGGGAGCAGGAGCTTGAGGCTTCAGGACATTGCGTCTACAGCGAGGGGCCAGTGAGAGATGCATGCTGGGACTCATCTTGCTCAGCTCATTTTCCTCTTTTACCTTTCTTAACTTTCTTCAGTTCACAACCTCAGAGGATGGAATAGTACCGCCCACATTCAGTGTGGGTCTTTCTTCCTCAGTTGAGCCCCTGAAGTGCCCTCACAGACTCAGTCAGATGTGTGTCTCCCAGGTGACTCCAAGCCAAGTAGACAATCAAGATCAACCACTATGTCAACTGATCCAGGCCCCTTCTCTTGCTTTTCACTCCAGCTTCAGAGGGGAGGAAAGCTTAAACAGGGGTGGAGTAGAGGAGGGAAGATCAGAAGAAAGAGGCCAAGAGTGTCTGGGGGAGGGATTTTCCCATGCGGCTGAACTGATGGAGAACGGCTCCCATGAGTGTGAGAGACTGCAGCGCTCCTCCAGAGGCAATAAGCTGAGCTTGCGAACAAAATGGCTACTGATGTGGGGACACCAGTCAGTCCCAGTGGCCAGGCAGGTGGACCGAGGAGGGGGCCGAGAGGAGCATCCTTCCCTGAGAAGCAGTGTCTAGCAGATGCCTGAAGGTGACATCATGTCAAGTGTATGTGTTCCATAGTATATTCCACATATATGTGTGCTCTGTGTGTGTGTGTGTGTGTGTGTGTGTGTAAACGACAC